CCGTTGTCGCCCCCAGCAATGACAGCTGTTGCTTGTCCACCATCTGGAAAAGGTCAATGGCTGCCGTGACGGCCGTCTCTAACGATCTGCGCATCTGATCCTCTTCGTCGCTGATTTCGAGATTCGAGACGAAGCCGTTAGGGACATAGGACATGTTGCTGTGCAGAGAGATTGGTGCCGTGTCTGCCGAGGATACCGACCCCCGTCTCCTTGAGGTTTTTGAGCTCATTGAAGATGGCCGCGACCTTTGCGATGGTATTGCTGGCAGCGGTTTCTGCAATTCGTTGCTAAACTCTTTGAATATTCTCTCCAGGCCCGGCTGCATCTGGCGCGCAATCATAGGGAAGTGGTTCAAGAGATCGCCAAACGACCTGACCTCCTTCTTCCGTGGCATGGACGAGCTGGCGCTTGCCGACGAACTGGCCACAACCGGCGGCTCGGCTCTTGCATTGTATTTGGGACCCAGTGTAGCCGGTATGATGGGATTCGGGTCGTATGTGCCGATGAGGGGGCGGGATATGAAGTAGACGAGCCAGGGCTGAGCGTCGAAGGAGTCGGGGTAAAAGATGGTGTCGTTAAGGAGCTGGGCTTGGTTGAGTGTCTTGAAGCCTGTATTGTCATCAGCGCGCGACGATGTATGACGTACCGTACGCATGCTCACGAACCCTTGTTGCTGTATATGAAGGCATCTTTGACAATTACTGTTCGGCCATTTGCGGTGGTGAACTGCTTTGCCTTGCCCCGCGATTCCCTGAAGCTACCCGTGTCCCTGAGGTGGCCGTTGGGCCCCGCGCCGCCTGGGATGCGCAGAACATGGCTGGCGAGGAAGTCTTCGGAACCGCTGAGGTCGGCATACGACGTGTTCGATTCCTTGTCGCGCGAAGTCAGGAGGGCCTCAGTCGTCGGGACCAGAAGGACCTGGGGGCTGGAATGTTAGCGACTGAAGATATATGGGATATGTTACACTGGGGCGCGTACGTGGTGCTGCGCTGGCTGGCACTGGCTGGGTAGTGCGCTACGGAAGAAGGCCCGTAGGAAGGGATTCAGCACGGGAGGCATTCAATCGACATTAACGGGGCTCTGGGGGAGAATCGGCGTGCGTGTGGCATGTGTCCCGGGAGTTTTTTATATAGCGCGCGGTCTGGTCGAGGGTGTGACGTCGTATAGTGGCTTGGGCGTAGAGTTGTGAATAGGAGCCTGGAGCAGTGATAGGCGGAGCAAAGACCTTGGACGGTTAAACCGGCGATGACCTGACGGTGGTTGTGGCGGTGCGCAGGGAGTCGGTGAGAGGCGAGACGTGAGATGGAGAGGTAGCAGAGACGTGGAGCAAGGGCAAGGGAGTTCCAGGCCAGCAAGGCGTCACAAGCAATTGGGAGTCGGAACTGGCACCACCAGGGCCATTGGCTTGTGAAGGTGAAGACGCTGCTAGCCCGGTATCGATTAGCGAGGAACGCGACTCTTTCGTCATCGCTCCCGTCCTCGTCGCACTCCCTCACCACCCCCACGTTGCATCACATTACATCAACATACGCCGTCGATCCCATGCCTGCAGCTGCGTGGCTTTGGTGCGACCATGCAATAACCCAAAGAAGCTTGGTCTAGACGCTATATATGGACTCATGTGTTCATGTAAATCAGCCTTGTCTATCTACAGCCCTTACTTGCCAGCCTTCTTGCACAGCTTCGTCCCATAATCCAGCACACTCCACTTCTCTGTGCCAGGCGTAGTCTCAGTAAAGAAGACGCCCTCGGGGTCCCATTTCTGGCGAATTTTCAGCAGTCTTGGGTAGTTGGCTCCCCAGTATGCCTCTTGCCAGTTGGGCTCATTGAGATCGCCCTCGTTGACATAGCTGGCTCCGTTAGGTGAAACATCTCTCAGTTTCTGGCCCACCACATGCGTGTTGAAGTGCTCGCGCTCCATCTTGACGTCCCATGATTCTGTACCCTGCATAATCACATTGGTAATGACGAAGCTGCTCGCATTGCGCCAGGCTGGGTGGATGGCGTTGTCTACCTTGGGATACGCGCGTCCAGGATTAACAATGTGGCCGACATCGAAGCCCAGCTGGGTGGGTTCTGGCATTGCTGCGTAGATGAGCGCGTCGACAATCTCATCGCCATGGTTGGCAATATCGCTTTGTGTGAAGAGACGGCCTCCGACAATAGACTGCTGGTTCGGCGGCTCATCCTCGAACATGTCTATGTACATTTCGAAGAAATTTGGGAATTCCCTGGTATATGCGTCATAAGGCACCTTGGCTGCATCCAGTTGCTTGTATAGTGGTGATAGGACCTTGGCCAGCTTTGCTTCGTCCATGTTGGGGCCGACAAAAGGGGCAATGTGTAGACGGCCAGGACCAGCTACATGTCCAACAGTCAGTATGCAGAACCGAAATCTTTGCCGAAATACAAACTTACGTCCAATCTCAAAGTACACAAACATCTGATTATCACTGTAGTGATTGGCCAAATTGTGGAAAATCCGAACACCCTTGGCAAACAGCTCAGTGTCGTTGGTATGCGTAGAGTTGATGTTGAGAATCGTGGCAGCCGTCGGTATCTCTGGAAAGGTCTTGACAGTGATGCTCACCACCACAGCAAAAGTACTAGGACCGCCGCCCTTGAGAGCCCAGAATAGGTCGGAGTTCTCCTTGGCATTGGCAGTCACATACGTGCCAGCAGCAGTAATAGCGTCGAACGAGAGCACATTGTCAGCGCCCATACCATACAGTCCCGTCAGAGGACCATGTCCACCTCCCTGGATGTATCCACCAGCCCAGCCTACAGTCTTCGCAGCGTCAGCACAAAATTTCAATAAACCGATAAAAGAAAACCAAGAAAATAACATACCGGACACTCTCCCCCAACGATAACCACCTTGGGATGCTGCGCAAAGCACTTCCGATACAACTCCCTCCCTTGCACCCCCGCCCCCACAACCGCCGCACCGCCACTCCAATCGCCGGGTCCAGTATACTTCTTGATAAACGCCACATCCTTGAATCCATGCGTATTGATAATCAGGGCTCCGTACCCCGTCGATCGTCCCCTATCCTCATCATCAGCAAACCCAAAAAAAAACCCACCATACTTCTGAAAAGAAAAAAAACATCCATACACAGAATGTGAGGGGAGGGTGAATACTTACATGAAATCATGCCCCGTATTCCTTATAATCAATCTCAAATTCTTCTTTCGCGCAAAATCAACACCGGCTTTGATGTGCTCTTTTGTGGTGGCGAGGATAACGTAGCGGCCGTAGAAGCCGCGGGTGCAAGTTCCTGTTGCTGCGTTGTCGGGAAGGCAGGTGTTGTTTGTCTTCAAGGGCCAGAGGGCGGCGATGGGGTGGTCGGTTCTATGGGGATTTCTGTCAGTACGAATGTTCTTTTTCTTTTTTTGAAAGGAAGGGGAAGAAGGGGGAAGGAAGGTAGATGCTTACAGCCACTGTTCATCAGCCCATTTCTCCTTTGTCTCGGCGCATTTGGCTGCGTCATAGGCGCTGGTTTTGTTGCTGAAGAATTGGTAGCATGGTGCGCCTGGGGGGATGGCGATTTGCAAGGCGCCGGACACGGTCTTGTTGAGAGCGGTCCAGTCGGTGGTTGTGGGCCAGCAGGAGTTGTCTGAGTAGCATTTGCCTGTAGCGTACAATCAGTTCTTTTATTCTAATTCTTCTATCTGTTTAGGAAGGTAAAGAAGGGAAACTTACATTGGTACTCTACGCCCCCAACTTTCTTCACTTCACCAATCCATTTTGCAGCTTGCGCGCTGGTGCTTGCTATTAGCAATGCTGCGAGTAGGGAGAAGCGAGGCATCTTGACTACGCAGAGCGACTTGAGCGACCTTTTTTCGAGGATTCAGACATTTATCTGTATTTCCCGCGGAATGCTCAGACTATGCTTGGTCTAAGGCCCTAGTGCATTCTACCGCGTTTAGTACAGGTTAATGGATTCTGCAGGCGTGCTGGGCGCCTTAACTGCATGTCTTCATTGCCTTCAAATGCCATGTTGAGATTCTCAACCCGATCTTTTCACCATGTGCCGCTGAGCATGTACGAGCGAGCGAGTAAAAAGCTTTGTAGAGATTTCGTTTGCATCTGGGGATCTCCTCGGTGGGGATCAGAACAAGACTCCAACTACCGAACCCGTTAGGATAGAGACATGGCGAAGGCGAGGTTTGGCTTGGCGGCGTACTCCTTTTCACCCGGTTAATATCGGGGTCCAATCACTTCACATGCAAGACACGGGGCGAGGCTTCGCTTCGCGCCACAACTGGGACGGTTCAGGAAGGCGTATCTTGTTCTAGTGGCCCGGATCAAGTGTGTGTGGTTTCCCCTGTGTGGCGAAGTGATCATGGTGTGGGGTTTGTGGTGTAGTGTTGGATCTAGATGTTCGATTAGTTCGGGGTGGGTCTGAGATACATGTTGTAGAGCAGTATACCGGGATGTCTAGTAGTCTTTGGGAAAAATTTATTACTCAGGCCAACCACTTATAGCATATATTAGAAGCTTTCATAGTAAATAAGCACGCAGCTGCATATGCACCTCTGTACTGGGAGTCACCTTTATCCAAACCTTCAATAGGAATTGCAAGGAATTAACCATCACCCATCTTGACGCCTTTAGCGATGCCACAAGTTTCAATTTAAGTGAACCCCCAAATGTAGCCATCAGCCATCATCCAGATTCAAATCGAGAAACTGTTTTGCGCCACAACCATGTATCGACATGTAGCCGCAACAGCACACCAGAAAACTAACAGAAATAGGGGCCATAACATTCCACTACTCGTACATACTCCTTCGGCAATCTTGTTAAAACTACTAGTATCGCGCCAAACCATGGAAATGGCACACCAAGTGGCGCGTCGATCCTCCATACTAGCCGTCCGAGAAGCCGGCGCTCCGAAGCACTGCCACCAAGTTCCTGCGTACGCTATACACATACGGCCTACACGTCCGCTTCTCTTTATATTTCTTCCGCAATTCGCCCGCCTATTTCGTGCCTAGTACACAATATCTCTTGCCATGCGATCCAGCGTGCCAACGCTGGTATCGCAAGCCAGCAAATCCAGGTCCGGGAACTCATTTTGGATCCGACGTCGCGAGAACGGAATAGCGGTGATATTCGGAGCTCCCCCTCGGACTCGTGTGACTTGCTTTACATAGTACTGTTGTGGTACGCGTTCAACGTTTACGTTGTTAGCAAGACTTCCCTCTGTTTCCAACTCGTCCTCGAGAAGGGAATATACATCGTTGTCAAGCGTTTCGGTAAAACGACCCCAGATGAGGACTTCGAGGTCAGGACACAAATCATGCGCCCATTGAAAGAGCACTGCAGCGAGCTGCTGGGTCTCGGCTGCTACGTTTCTCGGTTGGTCGGGATCGATGATTCGAATACGATCCTGGTAGAGATGCAGCATTTTCAAGTTTTTGAGCTTGCCAATTGGTTTCTTGCACTAATAGTTAATATTTGCATAGTGAAAAATCACACATGGCTAAGACTTACGAGTCGTCCAAGGACATATTTCTGTCTGTCGTGCCCATTGGCCAGGAGACACCCCCCTATTTCCGCGACACGCAACCCAAATTGCTCCAAAGCACCAAGCTCATCGCAAATCGTATCCAGCGATGCCATGGAAGGAAAATAGGAAGCCCTCTTTTCCACTGACCATAAGTCGAAGAGCGAGAGAGACTTTAGCCTGGGACATAGCGGCGAGATATACGAAGCAAGAGTCGACCCATCATCTGCAAGCAGTGGCTCCAACGACACTGTTTTCAATAGCCGCATATGAAGATTCAAATGCCGGAGGTTTTGATTCCGCGTAAACAAATCTTCAAGATCCATACTCTTTTCATGGTCAAAACTGTCTGGAGAGTGAAAGTCGAAATGTGTCAGGTTTCGTAGCTCTGGGGAGCTGAAAAGCGGCTTCCAGTACCAGAAATTGTCCGTGTAGAGAGAAAGTCTAGTTAAGTGGGAGAGATTGAACATGTGAGGTATGGCAGAAACAAACCCTCCGGGTAAATAGCCATCAAACATCAATTCGCGAGAGACAATCTGCTTGTTCGGGAAGAAGGTGCTGTAGGAGCACCTGCTCCAGTAGTCCTCGAGCAAAAAAACGTTAACGTTCTTCAGCAAGAGGGCGAACTTTTCCAGTCGAGGTAATTTCTGAGCAAGTTCTACAAGACCAAATGTTTGTTGCGCATCTCCAGAGACTCCAGCTGTTACACGCCTGGTCATGGGAGTTACAAGCTGCTGGAAGTTACCATGCGATAGCTCGAAATCGACAATCGACTGTTGCTGCTTTTGTAAAAGGTTGATGATAGATGGTTTTAGATCGATTTGAGAAAGATAACTGGGGATAGCGAATTAGCCAAAAGAATCCTCCGTGTAGGCACTCAACGCTGGCAGCGCGTGATTGAAACCGTGCCGGTGAAAATGGGGAAGCTAACCGGAACGTGGTCAATTTGTTCGAAGGAAACGATTGCAAAATCTGCAATAACAACGTGTCTCTCTCGCCATGGATCCACGGCGCTTTGTTGCGCAAAATCCTGTTGCATTCAAATATTGGAACATCAAGTAGACTTAGTTTTTGCGCGTACTGCAAGTGCCTGGATGCGCCAACTTCCAGGCATTGACGGAACAGTGAGAGCTGACCATTGCGGGTGCGAATGTCTAGCACAATGTTCCGGTACAAAACCTTTGTCGCAACAAGATTCCATGACCCTGATGTTAAGCAGAGTGCTAAAAGATCTGGGTAGAGGTTGACCTAAACTGCCGGCGTCAGTGATGTTCTGTTGCACCTCAGGGGCTAGTAGGTGCTTTTGCTGGTGCGGGGTAGGCATACATAATCCAACACCATCAACTGAACATCTGTAGGAAGATATGAAACAGCTTCAAGCTGATCCATCTCACCCATAATCTAAGCCCGGTGGTAGAAGTTACTCTGATCTGCGAAGGACAGTGCAACGGTTGAAGTCGACGAGCAATGGGGCAGTTTTGGCTAGTGGGTCTCATTCGCCAACCTCGCAGTATCTTGCACAATACATAAGTAATTCGTGACCTGTAGGATTCAGCTGCGGCTGATATATTTACGTCATAGTGGAATAGTGTCATGGAATGAGCAAATCAAATGTCAATACTTTCAACTGAGCATCCGAGCACCTCACCTCCTTATCCAAAGGAAATAGTGGTAGTGACCTGTGCCTACTTCTCCAAACCAGTCGGCATAGCAATCGCAATCGCAATCGCAATCTATGATAGAATACTAAGACTATACATAAATCAAGTGGCTGTTGTAATAGAGCAAGTTCAGCCGAGTAGTAGCCACTATTTACATGACATAGCGACGTGTATTTCGACAAGAATAAGTACGTGTGAACACGGCGTGTAATTTTCCACAAGACAACTAATGAGAGTGAAAACAGAGAGTGTCTAACATCACCTGCAAATATATTACGATGGAAATTAGGACATTGGCTAATCATAGTTCATATTCTGAGAGTGGTATAAGATATGCGATACCAAGATTCATGATGCTCGCATTGTCGTGAGATGGTATTCAAGCAAACGCGTCTTACTGCGCGTTTGGCCTATACGCCGGCATCCCATTCTTCTTTCCCCAGCCCCTGACCGTCTTGTTCAAATCTGGTGCTATAAACAACCAGGCAACCGCTGCTACAATCGCTCCTATCACATCGATGACCCAGTTGTTCTTCTGACTACCAGACAAGCTACCCCAGCGCATCAGGTGTACCAGATAATTTGTCGGTGTCATGAAGTTTCCGCTTTCTAGACCTTTGACGCAGCTGGTTGCTGCCTGTAGCTCGGTTTGCTTGGGATCGGCAGCCTCCAGCTCAAAGCTGACGGCATGCTTCGTCTTGTTCTCGTTCTCAAACCCTGGGGATAGTATGCTACCTGGAAACACAATATGAATGTCTACGTCGAACGGCGCGGGTGTGGTGCCTGTGTTGACATTGGAATGGCGCGCTGAGTTGTAGATTTGGACCTCTGAACGAAGTCCATCAGCGAGGTTGCGGAGGGCAGCCTTTGCTGGAGAGTAGGGCGAGTAGCCAGCAATATTTATGAAGGCGAGTGAGGACGATGTCATGATGAACTTCCGTGGTGCCTCCGGGGTAACGTTTTTCCCTTGTGGGCTATACGGCACCTCGGGATACAGCCAAGCTTGTAGCGCCTTTTGTGCCATATATGCTGTCGCGAAGTAGTTCAGCTCCATCTGTTTTCTCAGTGTGTCTGTGCTCGTCTCGATGAACAGTCCGGGGGTTGAGGATCCAGCAATGCACCAGACAACCTCGGGCATGCGGCCATTATTCCAAACTGTTGCTTCCTTGAGGATACGTGCGTTCTCAGACTCGGAAGTTACGTCGGCCGCAATGTACGTAAATCGCTGGGTGGAAGGGTTCTTTGCGCACGCCTTTGCGCGTTGGACAGCAGCTTCGAGGTTTTTTGCCGTGCGTGCGACCAGTATAAGATTGGCTCCCCGGGCAGCAAGGAGACAGGCAACCTCACTGCCCATGCCCTGCGATGAGCCGGTAAGGAGGACCGTCTACGAAATATAAGCATTACACGTGTGAAACAATATGCCAATAGACTTACCTTGCCATCTACGGGAAAATAATTGCTCATGGAGAAGCTGAAGCCCATGATGCCAAAGCTCACCAGCCCGATGATGAGCACGAGGGCAGCTCCAACGAGGAATTGAAACATGAGGGGCCTGCGGCGGGGTCCCTCGGAGGATTTAACTAAGACGAAACAAGTGGCGCTTGACGATGCTTACGGTGTAGTTATCATTGCGCCTGGCATGCTTCTGTGTTGTGTGATTATCGCACCATGCACCTTGGTGGTGAGAAAGGGACCCTAGCAACTTGTGAGTGGCTAGATTGCTTTGGTGGGGCAGCGTGGGGCGTTGCGCCAGCACCCATGGTACATAGTGCACTATGGCGGTGTAGGAAGGCGTTGCAGAAAGTGTTAAGAAGCACTTCATCTCTAATTGTGAAAAGATAGTTGCAGTTGCTATATGTGAAAACCGGATGGTTTGGGGGAAATTATAGATGATGTGGAGTGTTGTATTTGGGAAGACTTTTACTTGCTGCTTCTGATCATTATTCAAATTTCTTCTACCTTTGGACCATGCTATTCATGATGGAAACGATCAGCTACTCTAGTAAAGCGGCTTACATTCAATACCGGAGGTCTTCACAATGCACACAATGAGAGTCTTGGATTCAAACACTTGATTTTGGTAGATGGTAATCCTTGCAATTGTGGGAATACCATTGTGAACCATGCAACCGAGATGAAACAGTCAGAATATAAATACCCATGCTTGGGCGACACATTAGAGCTGTGGGGGAGTTGGGTGAGGTTCGGTTTGTACACGAAGATTCTGAGTGCGCTTGATGGCCAATGCAGCAACAATGGGATCTTGGAGACTCGGTAGGAGGGGTTTCTGCTGCTCCAACCTTTCTCAGAAGACGTGTTAGTAGGGAAGCCAAGGGGTAGCATGTAGTATGTGAACGCATTCATCATGTGCTTGTGCTTGGTAATGCATCTAAAGTAGGTGTGCGCTTCCCACTTCTGAAACAGGTCGCCTGTAAGTACACTGTAATGTACACACTGCCTTTTGACAGTCCAGATGTGACTGACATTTCTCCACTATTGATCTTTGCAAATGGTGTTGACGAATGGAGAGTGGGCCACGAAATGGGACCCTTGCAGATGCGCTTGACCGAATCGTGGCTGGCTGCTCGGCACCGAAGTGGGTCGCTCTCGATTGCCCGCGGAAATGCCAAGACTTTGCTCGGAAAAAAAGTTGGGCGCGCGACAAAGACGACTGCGACAACGACTGACGAGTATCGCCACAACACAGCGAAACGGCACAATTATGGCTAAGAAGAGAAAGGCGGGCGGTGGCGCATTCGGCGCATCCAAGGCGCCAAAAGAAGAGGATTCCCGAATGAGGATCAACACCTTTGAAGATGTCGCTGATTCCGAGGACGAGTTTCACATGAACCGCGACAAGGTGCTGCTTGACGAGGGACCTGCCGCCAAGAAGATGCGGAGATATCAGGAAGAAGGTTTGTTTGGAGATAATGGGAATTTCCACGAATACTGGCTGACATTATGTCCAGATAAATTTCTTCAGCCCTCAGATGAAGAGATTCTCGACGCTGGAAGCGACGACGATGACGAAGACGATTTCGACGACGACATTAGCGATGGCTCAGACGACGAAACGTCCGGAAAGCGCAAGCCAGCCGACGAAGAAGACGAAGATGAAGAACTCGGAGCATGGGGCGCCTCGAAAAAGGACTACTACGATGCTGACGCTATCGAGACTGAGCAAGACGCCCTAGACGAAGAGGCAGAGGCCAGACGCATACAAAAGAAGCAGCTACAGAGCATGACCGAAGCTGATTTTGGCTTCGACCAAGATGAGTGGCTTGGAGAGGATGGTGAAGAGAATGCTGAAGGCGCAGCAGTGGTTACTGAGGTTCTTCCTCAACTTCAAATCACAGATGCCATGTCACAGGAGGAAAAGATGAAAATTATGCGGACACGATATCCCGAGTTTGAGCACATTTCCAAGGAGTATTTGCGACTACAACCCCTGCATGAGGAGTTGGCCGCTGCTGCTAATGCCGCTGAGAGGGTACTGAAGGCGCAGGCGGCAAAGAATAACAGATTGGTTCCTACACCCACGGTCATAACAAAGTACCGTGCATGCGCGGCTTACCTCGCTGCAATGGCTATGTACTTTGCTGTTCTTGGTTCCACCGCTACAGATGATGCAACTCCAGCCATCGCGCTGGACCCTGTCGAGTTACATGAGCACCCGGTTATGGAGAGCTTGCTCAAGTGCCAGAAGATGTGGACAAGGGTAGAGAGCCTGCCAATCGCTGATCCCATGGTTGAGACTGAAGACGGTGACGACGCTTCTGAGGATGATGCAAGCTTTGCAGAGAGTGACAACGCCGATCTGGCTGTCAAGAAACCCACGAAGCAGAAGAAGACCAAGGCGCAAAGAGCGGCAGAGATTGCGCAGGCAGAAGCAGCAGCACGACGTGCAGCGAAATTGGCCAAGACTGAGCAAGATCTCGCGTCGCTCGATACGCTTGCAGACAAGGCTGCTCTCAAGAAAGCAGCGCGGAAGAAGAAGATCGCACAACCCAAGCTCAACCTTCTCAACGCCGACGACTCAGACTTTGGCGAAGAGACAGCCCTCACCGCCCACGAAGCAGCCGAAAAGGCGAAGAAGAAGCGCTCCCTCCGCTTCTACACCTCTCAAATCGCCCAAAAAGCCAACAAGCGAGATGCCGCAGGCAAGGACTACGGCGGCGACGCCGACGTCCCCCACCGCGAACGCCTCAAGGACCGACAAGCTCGTCTGCAAGCCGAAGCTGAGAAACGCGGCCAGCACAAGGACGCTGGCCCAGGCGTGGCACTCGGCGACGACGATGGTGCATCTTCTGCGGATGAAGCTCCCGGTACCCGTCGTGACGACTATGAAGACGAAGACGGTTACTACGACATGGTCGCCGCCCGTTCCAACGACAAAAAGCAAGCGAAGCTCGAGCGCGCAGAAGCGTATGCCCTTGCTAAGCAACAAGGTGCTCAAGTCATTGAAGAGGAGATTATCGGGGATGATGGACGGCGTCAGATTTCTTATCAGATTCAGAAGAATAAGGTATGTTTACCCCTTATGCAGCTTTTGCTATGTACCCGTATATATATGCTAGTTTTGGGGTGGTACAAATGCTAACATGTTTGAAACAGGGATTAACACCCCATCGCAAGAAGAGCGTACGCAATCCGCGTGTAAAGAAGAAGGAAAAGTACAAGGAGAAGCAGAAGAAGCTCAAGAGTATGAAGCAGGTGTTTGATAAGAGTGCTGCGGCCAAGGGAAGCGCTAGTTATGGGGGTGAGCTTACGGGTATCAAGAGTGGACTGGTTAGGAGTCGGAAGCTGTAGTTGGATTTGTAGAGGAAAATACGTCTTCTGCGTCGTTGTGGGTACGTTGTATGATCGGAGCAAAAAGGCATTGTTAATTGCCAAAAGCCATGATTCGTCTGCACGAGTGGATCATACTATTCAAAGAATTTATTCATCCCGTCCTTTTATATTTTCTCTAAAACGCCTTGCGAAATGCTACGATATCTCACGCTCGACCCATACAGTCGAGTCGATAAGAAAGAAGAAAAAAAGGACATACAAACATCTTAACACCACAACCTCAGCGTTCCATCCGCACCCGCAGAAACACACCACGGCTCCTTGGGATGCCAATCCAACGCCATAACACCCAGCTTACTCTTCACCTTGTGCCCCTTGAGCACCTTCAACGGCACAATCGTCGCGTTCTCCATCAAATCACCCACAACCTTGCCATGGAAAACCTGAATCGTGCCATCATCCGAGGTATCAGCAAACAGCGGCAGACCACCCTGATGAAACTTAACCGAGCGCACAGCCTCCTTGTGGAACCGCATCGTCTTGTACGGTTTAGTCGAGAGATCCATGTCCATCCAGAGGACACGCTTGTCGTACGAACTAACAATCAGATTGTCGCCTCCCGGGTGGACATCGATGTTGGAAATCCATTTCGCGCCGGGTTGCAGTATCTTAACGAGTTCCTGTTTGGCGAGGTCGTAGGCGCGGATCGTGTTGCGGGTTGCTGCGAAGAAGATTGCTTTAGACGGGTGGAACTGTGCTGTTTGGGCTAGACCTTTGAGGCGGCGGAAGGGGAGTTGAGTAAGGTGTTTAGAGATTGCGTGGATGGCGATTGCGGTGGATTGGCCGCGGGGGGAGACGGTGGTAAAGTATTCGCCTTTGCGGTGCCAGTTTAGGACTTTGATGGCGGAGCGGACTTGAACTTGGAGGAGGACACCCTTGGATTCGAGGCGTGTACCTGGGCGGCTCCATTTTCCTGGGGGTTGTTTAGGCGCGTCTTCGCCTTTGGGTGTTGTGGTGCCTTTTGTGACGGCGTAGCCCCAGCCCGCGTCGAGGACGTCGCGGCTGGCTTGTTCGATATCGGGGGAGAGAAGGGTAAAGGGTACGATAAGGAAGACGTTCTCGCCACAGGCAGCTGCGACGATAGATGCGTCTTTGGTGGGCCTCCATTGTACGGCGTCGACAGCCTCTTCGTCTGAGAGCTTAGCATTCCAGACCTGTCGGCCGGTCAGGATTTCCCAGATTCGAATGTAACCGTCGTCGCCTCCGCTAGCAACAAAGACGCCGTGTGGATCAACAGAGACGCAGCGTACGCGCCCTTCCTGTCCACGGAAAATTGCAGCACAAGTTGTAGGGAAAGGCTTGAGTTCCTCGGGGTTTGGTAGCTTGGGCAGTAGGGATTCCGGGTCGATATTGAGTCGGTTTCTTCGCACACGAGGAGCCAAGTAGAGATCCAGACTTCGCTCGAATCGTTCCTTGACAAATGTCTCGTAGCCTGGAACTTTGCGTAGCGCATCGTAGTTCTTGGGCAAGAATTCCCTCTCCCGGTCCTCCTCGTCTGCCTCCAACCAAGCCTTTTCCTCATCCTTGTCTGGTAGGTACTCGGGTGGTGGGTGGTAGCTCGCTTCGTAACCTGGCGGTGGCAGCTTGGGAGCGGGAATGTGCATTGTGTTATCTGGCCGGGGCTTCTCGTCGGCCCAAACGTCAAAGCTGAATTCATCCTGCTCTTCTTCCTCTTCTTGCGGCGGCTTGTAGGGCTTGATGCGACCCTCTTTGATGGCCTTGACAAGCTTCATGACACGCTTGGCTTCGTGCTTAGAAGGAATAAATCGCCGCTTGGGCTCGGGCGCAGCGCTCAGTGGCATAATCTCCTGCTTGCCGGAGAAGTAGGCGACCATCTCTGGGTATGGGTCATAGCCGTCCTCGACAACTTCATTCCTTGTGAGCCTCTTGAGCACGTCCAGCTCCTCTTCCGATAGGTTCAGCGGTTTTCCTGTCTCGGGATCCGTCAGACCTGTCCAGCCCTTGGGTATGTCAATGCTGTCCAAAAGCGCATCCAATGCCTCTCCCTTGGCCGGACGCATGATCTTCTTGCCGTTGATGTCATAGCCGATGTGGGGATATTCATCGTAATACTTGAGGTCAATGTTGCCAATTGTGTTTGTAGCTTCGGCGTCGGAGTCGTCCGACTCGTAGATTGGGTCAATCTCTTTGTACAGGTAGCGGGTGTTGCCGTGTGCGTCTGTTGTCACAGTGTAATTGGGCTTGAGGTTTTCGTCGTCGTCTAGCTCCGCGCTTGCGCCAGTATCGAGGTCCATCTCATGGGTCGGTAATCCCTTCTTCTTTCGCAAAGGCCCGTCAGAGGTGTTGAGGTTGCGCATTTCCTCACGAATTTGCTCTTCATCACTGTTCTCCTCTTCCTCCTCTTCATCTTCTGCATCTTCATCGGAAAGACCCTCAATCACGCTGCTCGCATCTGTCTCGACATCTTCTTCTTGGCTGTCGTCCGAGTCGTCTTCGGAATGCGACAAGATACCCTCAAGCAGTCCGCCACCTAATTCGTCTTCTGAATCGCTGGGCTCAGGCGCCGGGCGAGTGACGACCTTTCTCTTGCGCGGATTCACAGGCATTTTGTTGGTGATTTAGTGTTCTTTGCTTCACCTTTGCCGTGAACTGTCGCAACCTTCCAAAAATTATTCCTAGCGCCCCAAGATTTCGGCTTTAGCGTCTCGCACGTGCCACACTTCCATCGGCCAAGGCAGACGGACGCTTGGGGCATGTACAACTTTGGGACTTGGAAACATCTCGACGACCATTCACCTCACGCAGTCTCAGTGACGCCACCATCTACTGCTGCACGAGTGACACTGCATTGCATTGATTGCACACAGTAATACCACCGACTTAAGATGGCGACGCGCCACGCTGATTCCTCAAGGTACGACGACCGAGATCGTCGACGCTACAGCCCGCGGCGCGACAGATCCAGAGACAGAGATAGAGACCGCCGGGGAGACCGCTACAGTGGAGAGAGCCGCTTCAGAGATGATAGGGACCGCCGGGACCGTCGTGACCGCGACCGCGACCGCGACACATACTACCGCCGCTCGCGCTCTCCCCCTCGCCGCCGTGACCGATCACGAGACCGTGGAGACCGTTACAGCAGCAGACGGGACCGCGACGATGACAGAGACAGGCGTAGGCGCTCTACCTCACGCCGGCCTGGCTCTCGCTCTTCAGTCACACCAGCGCCAGATAACAGACGGGATCGACTAGATGCTCCCCCGCGCGACGACAGGAAGAAGGACCCCGAGACACAAGCCAAGGACAAGCTCGCTGAACGCGCGGCAAAGCTGGCCGAATGGAAGAAGCGCAATGCTGAGCGTCTTACCAAAGAAAAGACAGACACACAGGGCTCTGGTGCCTCGCCGGCTGGCACTGCGCCTGCAACCCCCTCCGCTGCTGCTGCGACGCCGCCTCCCCAGACCCCAGCAAGTGAGGTCAAGCTTGACACCGCTAAGACTAAAGTTCCGCAGAAGAGCGTTACTGAGAAACTCAAACAGAAGCAGCCCGAGAAGTCGACCTTCAAACTGGATGCTTCTGCTGCTGCCCGCCCCTTGGACATGGCCAAGCCTGCTGGCAAGACAGTGACAGCCGCTAGCAGTATGTCTTCCACCATACCTCCTTCACGCAATCATGAGCTCACTCATACAGATCATTCAACAGCAAAGGGCAACGGCAACATTGGCTCTTTCGGTCTCAAGACTAAGACAGCTGCAGAAGCCGAGGCTGAAACTTCGAGAAAAGCCTTCCTCGACGAAGAAGGCCCAACGCGCAAGCGCAAGTTTCAAGCCCTCCCCGAATTTACTGCGAACGACGAACCTGAACCCGAAGCTGACGGTGCCGAAGACGATGACGCTGCAATGAGTGGCATTGGAAGTGATGACGAAGAGAACAATGCGGAACTCCAGGCTCGCCTCGAGAAGCGTCGCGCGGATATCGCCAACGAAAACAACCAAGACGCTACCATGGAAGAAGCACCTGCCGTCCAAGTCCCCGCCGCCGACAAAATGGACGTTGACGAAACTGTAGGGGCCGAAGAAGACGAAATCGATCCTCTCGATGCCTTCATGGCCGACTTGACCGAACCACAACCCAGCCGCGGTGTACCTTCGGGCCAGGCCATGTTCGCCGACGAGCTCGAACCTGTCGAGACCTCTGTTGAGGCGCAAGATCTTCTCGAACTTCGTGCTGCCAAGAAAAAGAAGAAGGAGGTTGCCACTGTCGACCACGATAAAGTTGAGTACGAGCCGTTCCGAAAATCTTTTTACACTGAGCCGCTCGAGGTTTCTCAGATGACGCCAGAAGAAGTTGCCGATCTCCGTCATGAGCTTGACGGCATCAAAGTGAAGCCAGATGATGTGCCTCGTCCCGTCACTAAGTGGGCCCAGATGGGCTTGCTGCAAGCAACCATGGACGTCTTCACTCGCGTAGGCTACCTGAAGCCCACATCTATCCAGGCACAAGCTGCTCCTATTTCTCTTTCTGGACGTGACCTCATCGGTGTCGCAAAAACTGGTTCTGGAAAGACACTCGCGTTCGGTATACCAATGATTCGTCATATTCTTGATCAACGCCCACTAAAGCCGTCTGACGGTCCCATTGGACTGATCCTTGCTCCCACTCGAGAGTTGTCATTGCAGATTGTCCATGAGCTCAAACCGTTCCTCTCAGCTTCTGGCATAACTATCAAATGCGCTTACGGTGGACAGCCCATCTCCGACCAGATTGCTATGATTAAGCGTGGTGGCATACACATTCTCTGTGGAACACCCGGTCGCCTGATCGATTTGATGACTGCAAACCAGGGGCGTGTGCTCTCCTTCCGCCGCATTACCTATGTTGTTCTTGATGAGGCTGATCGCATGTTCGACATGGGTTTTGAACCACAAGTCATGAAGATTCTTGCAAATGTGCGCCCCGACCGTCAAACTGTGCTATTTTCAGCAACCATGCCAAAGAACATGGTTGCATTGGCCCGTAAAGCCCTGAACAATCCAGCAGAAGTGACAATTGGTGGTAGATCCAAAGTGGCCCCTGAGATTACCCAGATCATATCCATTGTTCCTAATAGTTATGAGAAGAAGATCAACAAGTTGCTCTTGCATCTTGGTCAGCTCTTCTCTGAGGACGAAAATGCACAAGTATTGATTTTCACGGAGCGGCAGGAAACTGCGGAAGATTTATTGTCCAAGCTCTACAAGGCCAAGTATTTCTCTGTTAACACAATTCACGGAGCTAAAGATCAGACTGATCGAAACGAAGCGATCAGTGATTTCAAGCAGGGTGTTCTTTCTATTCTCATTGCCACGTCTGTAGCAGCACGTGGTCTTGACGTCCCCGGTCTGGCACTCGTCTTGAACTTTGACTGCCCAACTCACTGTAAGTACCAACTTCGTCCTTGCATATATGTAATATCCATTTGCTAAAATACTCGATAGTGGAAGATTACGTTCATAGGTGCGGTCGTACTGGTCGTGCGGGTAACAAGGGTACTGCCATTACTCTTATTGAGAACCCCGGTCAAGAGCGCTTCGCTATCCATGTTGTCAAAGCACTAAAGGAGAGCGGAGCAGAAGTCCCTGAAAAGCTTCAAGAAATGGCAGATACCTTCCATGAGAAGGCCAAGGCAGGTACCGAAAAATACTATGGCGGCTTCGGTGGCAAAGGTCTCGATCGACTTGATGCAACTCGTGCTCTTGAGAAGAAGCGCGAGAAGCGTCAGCTTAAGCTGGAAGGTATTGAAGACAGCGATGAAGAAGAAGAGATTCTGCCAATTGTTAAGAAACCCGAGGTTACTGGTCCTGGCGCTGTCAAGGCTGCTGAAGGAACTACACCTGCTGCTGAAGTCGAGGATCAACCTCACTGGATGAAGCTACTCAACAGCAAGATTGTTGTCAATAAGACCGAGCGCCCCGAGGCTGCTGCGACTGGCAAGCCGATGAGTGCAAGGGAGCGGGCGATGGCCGCTGCCTCCAAGGTCGACGGTAGGCTCAGCAAGAAGGGCATGATCCACGCGGGCCAGCCCATCGACAACAAGGGTCCTGACGCTGGTCTCTACCATTCAACTATTGAGATCAACGACTTCCCCCAGAAAGCTCGATGGGCCGTCACCAATCGAACCAATGTCGCCAAGATTCTCGATCAGACTGGTGTCTCGATTACGACAAAGGGTAACTTTTACCCACCTGGCAAGCAGCCTGGTGAGAATGATCTTCCCAAGCTGTACATCCTGGTTGAGGGAGATACGGAGAATATTGTCACACAGGCTATGATGGAACTCACCCGCCTCCTGCGCGAAGGTACAATTGCGGCAGAAGATGCATCTACGACTCGTACCGCCACTGGTCGATATAGCGTTGTTTGAGACTCCTCTACCCGTTGAGAATTCTCTTGCATGCGCATCCTTCTTCTCATACGATTTCCACAGCTGTCACACCGCCACTACGAGTGTCGGACATTGTTGTGGCTTGCTTGTTTCTTCTTGTCCAGGATGGGTGGGGACGGACACTGCATTCGGAAACGGAATTGAACATGTCAACAAAGCACGCTTTCAGAGCATTCAAATGGGTTTCGGCAAACAGGAACCTAGGACCGTCTTCAAAACGTGAGTGTGGATCCAATGCCGACTCACCCTCTTCTTTGATTTACACCACCTCGTCGCAGGTCTATTTTGAGCCTCAGCCTCAGCCTCCTTCCCGCTTGACCGATCATATCATAATCGGGTCCTACAGAAACGGCGTCTTTTGTACATTAAGAAAAATAAGTTTGCACCTGCGTTTCACTTCCTTGCATAGCAGCAATGGCTATCAGAGAAGAGGCAGCAGGTTCTCAATTCTACGTAGGGGTGAGGCTTCCTTTGCATGGAAGCACACAACTTCAGTGTCTTTTTAAAAATGCGTATAAATTGAAACTAGAATAATTCTCTTCAACGAATGCATAGCAGTCGAGTTCTCTTTGCCACTGTAACCTCTGATCGTATCACTGAATTCCTATCTCTACCACACTCTAGGTATTTGGTATCACAAACTCCTCAAGATATCGCCATCTCACATGTCAGATTGTCCAAGAAGCCTCTTCCCGTGCGCACGTACGTGCAACTCGTTCCAGAACCCACAATGGCAACTCTCGCGTGGCCACCGGCCCTTGCTGCCGTCCACCGGTACCCATTTACACCCTCTCTTTTCACAACTGACGAATCGGAAGCGTACCAGCCCTGACACTATGCCTTTTGCAGCAAACACAGCCAACATTCATGCATACCAGCGAGTAAGCCCTAGCTGGAGAAGTTAAAAATCCTGCATGCAGTAAGTTTCCACACGCCGTTTTGCTTGTTCCAGGCACAAGGGTGGCGGAGCCCAAAAATGCTATATGAAGGCATGCATGCAGTGGTGGCAAAAAAGGTGACAACATCCTGCGCAGGCGAGGGGAGGCGGGGAGCGAGAAAAGCAAATGTACCTCAGGACACCGTGCGTGCGGTAAACCATGGGAATTGGTCGCGTTGGGTACTCGTTTGCCGTCTTGCTTTGCGGCACATGCATGGTCCACGCCGCCATAGCCCTGGTACCTAGGCTGAATTTGGATATCCCTTTGCTGGTTGGGCTTTGCTTCGGGTGCAGGCCAAGGCGTGCGGGGGCTGAGGTTCCTTTACCCCAATTTCAGGGCCAAGACGAGCAAGAAAAGGTGGCAGGGACATGGTAGAGGCGTATGGGGAAAAGTTTAATTTCGCGGCCATGCGGGCGCGTTGGATGGTGGTTGGTGGATTGTGGGAGGTTTAGACCAGCCACAGAAAGGGGTTTTCGCTTCGGCTATACCGTACGATTTGTGTATCCTGCTGAAGCTTTGTCTTATCGAGCTTCTAGAATCTTGAGTGTACTGATCGCGGGGGAGGAGGTTCTTTTCTGGTTTAGCTCAGGCGTTGGAGGTATCCCTGTGCGATCAAGCGTTCGACATCGCCTTGGCGGACGTAGAATTGCGAGTTTTTGGTCAGGGTTATTGAACTGTGCAATTTCATTGGTTAGTTAGCTTATTGGTTGTTGTTCCTGCCGTGTTTCGGCATGCCGAAGTTCATCAAGGGGTGACTATACGTACCCGTACTCGGTCTGTATCTCACCGGCATCCTTGAGCACTCGGACGTCAATGAAGAGATCGCGTGGCGGCTCCAGGCTCCCTGTTAGATCGATATCCGTCCATTGGCCCTTGTATGCCGCGAGAAGGTCACTGTACTGTCTTACGTATTCCTCCTCTTCTGGGCTCAGACTACTCTCCTCTCTCCCGCCCCCGGTACCTAGGGTGCTTCCCCTCGTGGCTTCTGCGGCGTGGTCTTTGTTACCCTGTTGCTCAAGCACATCAATTCCCTCCCAACAGTACTCTTCTAACTTATCACTGCGGACCCGGTGGTAGGCCAACAGACATCGCTTGTTGCGGCGCATGCAGAGGTGGTTGACAAGGAGTGCGCAAGCGGTTTCGGGTGAGGCGCTGGGATTGAAGGAGCCACTGTAAGGAGCGAGAATAGAGGATACGTCCTTATCCAGGTCGCGTACCTCGCGTACAATAGAGCGTGTAAGTTCCGAGGCGTAGGGCGGGAGGTGAGGAAGGGCGAGGGTGCGCTTTGCATTTTGGACCTGGCTTTTTCTTAGACGTGACCAAATCATGGGGTACCAAGGGTATCGCTACCAGCTTGTTTGCTGCTTCGCCGTACATGACTGAGGTATGTGAGTGTGTGCGTGTGCTGTTGGTAAGTTTAGGATATCGTGAGTAATGGCGACTTTTTGCCCAGGGTGCTATGCTATATTCGAGTTGCACGACGAGAAGCTCTTTTCAGGCATATGGCAATCCCACTAATGGTGCAGAGGCAAGTTTCTGGATTGCTGTGAAGAATGCATCTGTACTAGCATATCATGAGGAAGTGTTCAATTCGTGGATGGTTGTCCGACCCCTCATTGGTAGAAGAGTAAAGCGCGTCCGCGTTGGAGACAAGGGTGCATGGGTGGGGCAGAGACGGCAATAACAAGTCTTGGCATTGTCAAGTACAACCTCACTCTTCTGGCAATCCCTTGCACACCATCATCTGCCTACGCACCCTCACTCGCCAGATTCTACACAGACCACCCGGAAAGATGCGAGTCATTACTATCATCACACAACATTAAGTCTGAGGAGTTTCGGCAATCGCGGTATCACGTCCGTAACATTGAGCAAAGCATGGCCACAGGAACATGAAGCTCTACTGGCTCTTTTCGTCTACCCATAGCCAAATCATATCTAATGTGCTCCAATTTCCGGAGCTTTTAACAAAAAGACACCATGTATGCTACTGGTGGTGTACGTAGTAAGAGTTCACCAGGCGCCATTCTACCCCAACCAAGAGAATGGGTATCACCACGTGAAAGCTGAATCGTACATCATACTGCATAGAAGCAACCAAAACACTCATACAGACATAGGCTGAAACAACCTAAATCATTGCTCACCCACCCATTTGTCGAACTCAGACTCTTGCTCCAAAGACACCATGGTCGGATCAGACTGCCAAGCTTGATACTCGTCATGCGGAAGATCCAGCAAGTTGTCGAGGTCGTGATACGATAGCGCTTCTTGCATGCTGATCTGGTTGTTTCGGAAGTTGTTGGATTGGAGAGATACTGGATCAACACTGGACTGACTGCCTCCGTATGCCAATAGCATCGGATCCAACTGTCCCTCGTCAAAGGGAGTTCTCACGTGTGGATGAAGTTGCTGGAGCAAGTCGTCCGCGCTGCCCCCGGGCAAGCCAAGCATCGATGGGTTCGATTGGAAATGGTTGGAAAGCGTCGAGGTACTCAACGGCTTATGCAGGTCATCTGTGTAGTTCGGGCTCATGTGCATGTTCGCATACGGTGCAGCGTGGTAAGGCCAGTTGTAAAGATCGTTGTGGCTCATCGGTATTGGCATCGGCATCGGCATAGGTCGTCCTTCATTCGTCATCTCCCATGAGGATCTGTTGACACCGTTCGCGTTTGGCCCGAATGCTCCGTCAAAGTATTCTGCGCCGACCCCACTTGATGGGTAACTGATTGAGCGTTCGATGCGTCTAGTTTGCCGAGGGCGTGACCTTCCTGCACCTGGAGCCCACTCGGTATCGTCTAAATCGCTAGGTTCCTCCTCGTCTGACCATTCGTTCCTTCGCTTCCGAGCTGGAGCGGCCGTCTTGCTTGGTGAAAATTTGTACATCGGGTGCGCATTCTGATGGTTGATTCTTTCGAGCTTTGCATATTCGCTGTAGAGGTCGCGGATCTCTGGCGGCTCAAGAGGCCAGCTTTCCCCGGCTACCGACGACACAACTTGATGGTTGTTTTGCAAGCACCATGATTTGGCTCTTTCTGCGAATGCAGATCTGTACAGCATAAATGAGTTCATTGGACGAGCAATGTATCCATTCCGCTTTTCTGCTTCTCGCCTTCGAACATCCGCCGGCCTGTTGACCCACTCTTCCATGTTTTTGATCGGAATGTTGTGCAGTTCTTTTGTTAATATACTCAGTGGCGCAGTCAGCTTGGGTATTCTCTGCCTGTCTCCCTTTGCTGTTTTCGCTTTCTTGGATCTTGGTATTGCTTTTGGTCTTAGGCTAATCTGGGTTTCTTTTGGAGATGTGGATGCAGTCATTGTTCTTCTGCTACGGATCGCCGCCCGACTAGATTCATCGCCGTTGGCAGATCTTGGTGTTGGCGGAGAGAACAAGACCTGATCGTTCTAATATTCATTAGCCATTTCGCCACCGACTCTGCCTGAGACTCACTTACCGATATGCGGCTATAAGAGCCGTTGGGAGAAAATTCTGTCGGAGGTTCATAACCGTCCTGGGGGTTGATCAGCATTTTAATGAGCATGAGAATCTAGGTTTGCTCACGTATTGTAGGCCTACTAGTCCAAGCCCGCGAATGTGGTCGTCGCCATGTGACGCATGCGAAGGGATGCCTTGGTGCGCCACCGAGCTTGGGGAACCATACCCTGCCTCACCGAATGAACATCCGCGGTCTACGTTGTATTCGGCAACTTGGTGAAGTCCGACTTGGTACTCTGCCCCAGCATTCGGCGGGGTGGGAGGATGTTGTTGGGTGGGCGAATCACCCCTCATCGTAACGAGAATCAGCGCACAATGGAGTTGGTCGCTGCGACAGTGGAGATTACGGGCGGACGCGCTGTTCTCTCTACCGCTTTGTCTTCGCCTCCTGACTCAGTGCCTTACCAGAAGTGACTGCGACGATTTTCCAAGGTGGTAATCTAGTAGCAGGTCGAAAATATGTCGCTGCACTGCAGGCGAAGTGTTTCAGCAACTGAGGACGATGGCTGAGACGTTGTCTCTGATCTCTGGTCTTGTATTTCTCA